GGTAAAGAGGATATGCTCGGTGAAAGAGTACCAATATTCATAAGATAATTCCTGACATTTCAGATTAACCTCTCTCCCTTAAAGGCAACGAGATTCGGGGGGGGGTGAATAGAGGATTTGTGCCGGTCTGATGCCCTTCGACCACATCCGAAGGGACCGCCGCCACCTTGCCCCTCGCTCAGCACGGACAGCTGCACAAGTGCTGCGCGATCGACGCGACCGCTCCACGAGACGCGAGACGTACGTTCAGCGAGCTCGTGTGCACTTGCAACACACATTTGGTCGATTCCAAACAAACAGCTTCGCGCGTTTTTGTTCCTTATTTATTTTTGCTTCCTTCCTCGTACAAGGCCGCTAGGGTTGGAAACCCTGGAAAGTTTCCGGAAAATTTCAAGAAAATTTCTAGAAAAGACGGAAAATTTCCGGGAAAAAATGAAAAATGCCCCAGAATTTGGAGAGTTTTCCGTTATTTTCCGTAAATTTTCGGAAACTTTTCGGAAATTTTCCGGAAAATTCGGGAAATTTCCAACCGTAGGCCGCATAGCACACAGGTCGGCTGCCTGCTATATCTATCACAACAAGACCTTCCGGAAAGGCCCTTCCCTTCCAAACGAGCTCACTCACCTTGACGTGCGGTTTGCGGACAGCGGTCCTGGGCGTGGTTGTGGTCGTCGTCGTGGTGGTCGAGGGGGTGGGCGGCGGCGGCGCCGTCCTGGCCGTGGTTGTTGCAGCGGTGGCTGGAGTGGCCGCTGAGGTCGTGGTCGTGGTGGTTGGGGTGGTGGTGGTGGTGGTGGCGGCTGTAGTGGTGGTAGTTGTGTCGACGGCAGCGGCCGAAGTCGTCGTAGACGGGGTGCTCGTCGAGGTGCCGGCGGTGGTGGTGCTCGTCGTCGTCGTCGTCATCATCGTCGTTGAGGCGGTCGTCACTTGGTGAGCGCCCGTGTCCTCGTCCTCGTCGCTGACATCCTCGTCCTCAGCGCCTCCGCTGTCCCCTTCATCGTCCTCCTCCTCCCCGTCCTCCTCCTCCTCATCATCCCCGCCGCCGCCCTCTTCGTCGGCCGCCTTCTCGTCGACGGCGGCCACGCCACGCTCGGTGCTCGCGGCGCCCCAGTCCTCGGCGGCCTGCGTCTCCTGCAACGTCATGAAAAGGCGTGGGCCAATTAAAAACTTGCGTACATATAGTGATGACGAGGAGCACGGTTATTGCATCTCGTCAGTAATCATGTATTGGGCTTTGAGGGCTCTTGAACTATCAATAATGAGGGCGAGAGGGAGGAAGGAGGAAGGAAGAGAGAGAGAGAGAGAGAGAGAGAGAGAG